TTTATGTTGCACAGCGACTTCCACGGCTTCAGAGAGGCTTTTTTCTAAAGCTGGTCAATTCCTTTAACAGCAACGCAATCGATTTTTTGTGGAACATCGATGGTTTTCATCGAATGTTGACTTCGATCTCAATATCGATGTTTTTCCAATATCGATCATCCCTAGTTTACTCTAAAGACAGTTGTTACTTATCGATTTGACATATTTACTGGCCTGTGACGTCACGATCAGCGCCATTACATAGAGCAGCGTTTTTCGCGCGCTTTTGGTTATTTAAATTTTAACAATTATTTTCACCAAAAATAGAAAAGATTCCGATGAAATATTATGACAGTGTGTTTATAATGTAGCAAACATCGATTAAAAATAGTTTTCAGAAAAGTGCCAATACCCTGTTTTCAGGTCTGGCAGTCCGATTTTTTCCGGGCCGGAATGACATGAAAAACCCGGATGAGTAGCTTGTGCACTTGTCCGTTTTTTTCCTGATCGGCCCCGCTCCGATGTAGAGCAGCTAATTGCGTTCGAAGACGTGGAAATGTACCTAAATAATGACCTCATCATTTTACATAAACCATAATAAATTATGGCAAGACGGAAGCATTTTTTTACTACTAATTAATGTAAAAATGTAATTAATTTATGTAAAAACTTATACCCTTACTAATTTAGAAACAGCATTATTCCCATACAATAGCTAAAAATATCTGTGACTATAAATTTATAAAAGTGCTATTTTTTTTCAAAGTTTTGTAAAAACAACTTTAAGCGATTACAGAGATAGACCAATCGGTGGCGCCATTTCGTAAACAAATCGAAATTAGTGCCGTGTCAGTGGAGAATTAATATGCTAAATGAACTTTACGAGATCAGTTGACTGTATTATATATAGGCATACTTTTATACGCGTGGTGTAGTTTCTTGGAGTAGAAATATTTTTCCCTTAGAATACTTCTTTTTTTTAAATTTATTTATGACACAAACAGTAATTTCAAATTTTATTACAATATAGACTTAAATGCGAAAAAGAGTGTCACTTAACTACTTCTGTTAATCTTCTGTTTATTCTTAATTATTACTTCTGTTACCAAATATTAATCTATACAGTCAGAAAATCAGAAAACTCAGAAAGAAAGTCAGAAAACTATCAGAAAATCTATTTTTCTCCTACCATAGATGATGTTTTTCTTGTAAATATATGTCACCGACCTTAAAAGAAATTGTTGGTGTATTCACTTTTTGTGTTTCGATTTTATTAAAGATAAAAACTTATGGTATTATTTTTCTCTTTATAACGATTTTTTGATGAATGTTTATTTTTTTTATTAAAAATAGTTTTTTTTATAATGAAAGTTATCACCGATCCATATTATGGGCCGTCCATTATCATCCATCCTTCGACCAAATCAAGTGTATTAAAAAAAAATCTTAATTTTTGACTTCGCTTTTCGGTTTAATTAACGCGCGTTGAGATATACACCCCTCCTCACCCCCTTGTGATATTTCGTGATTTTTGACGAATCCCTCCCTCCCCCCGTTTTGATCCTCACCTGATTAATGGACGGCCCCTTATTTACTTCTAACTTGTAACAAATGGATATCTTAATTTATATTTAAACATACTTATATTTAGCCGCTACATGCGTAGTACTGAGCGTCGTGGAGATCTATGGGAGAGGCCAATGCTCAGCAGTGGGCGTCTTACGGCTGATGATGATGATATTTACTGTATAAACATTTTCTTTGATAGTAGCAGTTCCAACTTAACCTAACCCACTATTCTTGAATCAATTCAGTTTTTTTGGGTTTTGCAATCTTAACAGCATAAGTATATACTTGTAATATTGTACTTTTAGTGAACTTCTGTAACGGGTTCGATGTTTAGGTAAATAAATAAAAGGCTGACTAAGATTTATATAATTAAATTATCATGTTCTCGGCAGACAATTTTTTACGAACTGACATTCATATTGAATTACCTACTCAAAATTTCAAATTACGAAAGGTTTATAAAAGAAATGTGTTGAAGATCAAAAACAAAAAGTTTACATGCGGATACCTGAGACGAAATAAACGGTCGGTGGTATGACGCACTGTTACACTCCTACCGCTAGATTCTACAATACGCAGATGATGTGGCCCTTAATGTATTTACTTTCTTCTTTTTTATTTATGTCCGAGTGAAATCCATATCGGAAACTAAATCAATACTAAACTTCGCTTTGTTTTATCTCGGCGACTGGTTGACAAACCATGGACTATCGATTACTATATCAAGCTCTAATGCCTATACCAAAAAGCGAAACGTCCCTGTACCAAACATAAAATTTCAGGATGTTTTGTTCCCATTGTAATTAAACCCTCAGTTAAATGGTTCTTGACTCCAAATGAACTGGTACTGACCATTCTATTAATGTGGCAAATAAAGAGGAAAAGAGCGTAAACGTTTTGCGAATGTTGTCTGATGTTTGGTGGGGCGTCCATCCAGCAACACAAAACATATTGTATTACGCTATTATGCGTAGCCCCTTTGATTATAGTTCATTTATTGAACAAATGTCAACTAACTAATTAACGGTCAATTATGGTATTAAGAATAGAAAATAAAGAATGACGAAGTATTATAAAAAAATTCGTCGAAAATCACGAAATATCACAAGGGTGGGAGGTGTAGTAATATATTGTATTTATTTTTTCCTTGACGCGTGTTTTTAATAACCGCCGAAAAGTGACGTCAAAAATTAAGACTTTTTGTTTTTTTTTTAAATACACGTGATTTGGTTGAAGGAGGGGGTAGTCTTAAACCTCACCAAGTATCACCAAGGGGGAGGGGAAAATATTGAAAAAACAACAAGTGATGAAAGGACGGCCCCTTACCGAAATAGCAGGAATCACATACATTTAATAAATAGTAAGTTTAATTATGATAATTATGATTATTACTATTAATTTAATAACTTACCTAGAGTCGATGCTCAAAATGTCCATCTCCTCACTGCAGACAGAGCCGAGCACGCTCTTTTATATGCCGCACGCGCCAAAGTTCATCACTTTCAACAATTTGCCGGCGGAGCTCTTCAAATGCTCCCACCACATTTCACCACGAGTTTCGCATTCATCACGGTGAACGCGATTTTTCAAAGTGCCCCACGAAAAAAAGTGAGATCAGAAGAGCGCGTGCTGGTCAGTGATGTGGTCCGTACCGGCCGATCCATTGCTCTCCAAACATTTCGTTTAATACCTCGCTCACCTCCACCACAGAATGTGCTGGAGCTCCGTCCTGCTGAAATCACACTACATTTCGTTTCTCCGATGGTAGCTGATTTGAATAGCTAGCCACGTCGTTTGTCATAAGCTGGAGATATCCGTCTCGATTCAGTGTAGGTGGTAAAAAATTTGGTCCGATTAGTGCATTGCCATGTATGCTGGCCCATACGTTAACCGACCACCTCTGCTGATGAGTCGTTTGGCCCAATATGCGGGTATTGTCTTTAGACCAGATATGCTCGTTACTTGGCGAGAACGTTTTGGTCGAAGTACCATAAGATGTTTTCCTCGAGTTGAACAGGTACATGTATAGATCGGCCGCCTCGTTGGTCATCCATGGAGGTGCGTGGGACTATGGGGCGATGGGCGACTATGGAACGCAAAGGTTTGTAGGGTGTGTTGGAGGAAAGCGTTCCCGGTACAAATGTAAGGGAAAAATCGATGGAAAAGTTTCGCTTCGCAGCGGTACGGCGGCGGCTATGCAGTTACGTATCTCAAGTGCAAACGTCCGGCGGCGACTGAGCGGAAAACCGACCAAAGCGATCGAAGCCAACAGAACAAAGAAGAACAATCGTGGTCTGTGATGTGATTGGCTGGCGCTTGCGGCGAGTGGGCGGTGACCGGTTTTGTTTTTGCTTTGATAACCTGCACTTTGTCTGCACCCAATTGTCAGTTTCTCGTGTCGAGAGTGATAAATCTTATGGGTTAATCCGAGAAAAGTGAAATTTTTTTGTAGGCAAAATGTTTTCGAGTACGTCATGTTACGCGTGCAGGAACGAACTCAGTTCACTTTTTTTTCGAATGAGGAAGTATTAAAAAAAAACGAAAGCACTAAAAAAGCACCTTTACTAGATGGCGACTCTAGCAAAAGTTGATTTTTGCACGAAACGAATGGACCAAAGACAGTCATTTTCGTTCCTTTTAACTAACATGTTAAAAAATTTAAATTTGAACAGTTTGAAACTTTTGAAGTGCAAATAGAATATAAGTTTTTTTATTGAGTTTTGAAAACGATTTTGCTTTTAAACATGAAAGAAAACCGGCAAGGTTGTCTTGGAGATATCAAGAACGTACCGTAGGGACTCCAGTTTGATTTCAGGAACTAATGTTTTTTTTAAATACTTCCTCATTCGTATTATGTTATCACGCAACTGTTTTTGAATATACTTTTTAAATAATAAATGATCTGAAGAACTCTGGCTATTTTAAATAATGTAGTTTTATGTACTGTAACTTAGTTAACGTTAGAATAATCTTTTTAATCTATTAATGTTAGTCAGTTAATTAATTTCAGCATTTTGTTTGATTAGTTTTGTGATAATCAGTAAGTCATTGTAAAGAAACCGTTAAATTGATCACAATACTAGTTTATTTTGTTTTTATAAATTATGAAGTCAATGACCTTTTAAAAACTTGTTCTTTTGTACATCCCAAAAACAGCTGATTAGGGTTGAATACACTCATTTATTTTCAAAATCTTTGTAATTGAATAACTTCGAAACTATTTTAACTAGACTTTTTTTTACAAAAAGGTTTTATCGATCTTGTTTACGTACAATTTTTTTTTAAGAATATACATGATAAACAAATAGTACTTTTTAGAAGTCACGGTAGTGTCGCTCAAACTGTTCCACCGGATATATTACAGCACTGAGTTAATATTCTGTGTCCTGACTAATGTCAAAATCTCCTTTGTCTATGCTAGCTATTGATTGGTCGACGAGGAGATGTAAAAAATGGCTGCTTTGCCTTCTCCTACTCAGGTAGAATTTAATCGGAATTATGTGGTTATTATAGTGTAAATTGAATGACACTTAGAATGGGCTTTAAAACTGATTACTAATTTATCTATTTAGTGTTTAATTTTCAGTTTCCTAGTGATAGTTCTTATGAAATTTACGTTCGTAAAGTGTTCTATCGTTGGAATAAACTGTTTCGAAAATATTGAAATTTAAATACTTTTAAAGTAGATTTGCGTTATAAATTATTTTGCATTCAAAGTGCAGTGTTTGTCAGTGTCTGTGATTGTACTATTTTGCTTATAACTATTCATTTATTGTTAAAACATTGAATGTCAGGGGATGTGTTGAAATGTCACACCCATAGATTCAAAATAAGTATTCTACTTCTTATTTTGGTGAGATTTTAGTGACCAAAATGTGGATTGAACCGTTGCAGGTGGCAGGGACCCACAGTGCAATATATGAAGCTTATTATCATCAAGTAAGTTTTAGTTATAACTTAACAAATTCTTTTGTATTACACACTAACTTTTGATAATAGATATAAATTTATACTCATTTATTTACCGGTAAATGGTAAATTCAATTATAGAACTCGAAGTCTTAATGGCTTTCCTATTAGTAAATTATTTTATTTAAAAACAAAATTTTAGTGTAATAAATAAAGTTGCTAGAATAACCAAACTATTTTTGATCTATTAAAGTACCTAATATTAAAAACAACCTGTAGTTTTATGAATAAATATTCAAGAAGCATATATAGGTCTAATTGAAAAAGTATAATATAGTTGTCTCTAATGCTCTTCTTATTTAATAAAAAGGCAATAATAATGATCTCTATTAAATATAACATAGGAGTGATAAGTTAAAAGCTTATTGATGAATTGATAACAACTTAAATTATGCCACTGTTGGGAATGGTTGTTGACATGGCAAAAAGTAGCACCTATATGGTGACTAAGGTTTAGTGGTGTCCAGGAAGTGTTTAATCATTACTGTAATCAAATATGGCTGAATATTACTCCAATTTGTGATATTTGTAATTTTTTTAGACTTACACATGCTTGTAAGTGTGTAGACTAAATAAAGGTATTGAATTATTATTAATTTTTTTTAATAATGGAGATGAAAATTTTAACCTATTATAATATAATATTTGATCAATTTTGCATGCTTTTACTATCTTTAATCAACTACTGTAAAATCATTCTCTAAAAAGTTTTAAACAAGACATTTTTCTATAACAATAGCCATATTATAGTAGTGATGATTAAAACACAGTATAATCATTTGCTACAACAGATTGTTTTGTTATGGAATAATATATTTTTTTTAGTTTTTTACTTTACTGTTGCTAATTTAATGTAAGTCACATAGCCTATAGCACACACACAATTAAGACCTTTCTAATGATACCTCATTTGTCTAGTTATAATTAGAAGTTTTGAAGTTATAAGAAGGAACAGATGAACATTCATACATATAATTGGGCCAAAATTATAACCCTCCTTTTCACTTTGCCATAGTCGGGTAAAAAAGATTTGAGTCCCATCTGACGAAACCTGCGGCTGGTGGTTTCTTTAAACATTTTTCATTGAAAATATTTATGACTATAATATTTCAAGGTCTTCCATAAAACTCTTTTTTAGTATGTGAATGAATTAAACTCAAAGTAAATTGACATTGGCAGAATTGTGCGAAATGTGTAGATAACTCATTAATAAGACAAGTTGAAGTAGTAGCACCACAGTGACAAACAACATGTCACAAAGGCAAAGTATCACCAGTGTGTGCATAGCCTTGTTATTTTGTGTCAATAATTGACAGAAATGCATTGAACTTAGTACTGTTATCTAGTGATATTTATTTTAGTATTTTTATAATACATAAAGTATTAAAAGAATTGATTCACAGTGATTTTGAAGTAATAACTTTGCATTATATGTCTTATAGGTGGATCCCCAAGGCACAGGGGCCATACAAGCACTCGATGCTGCAAGGTTTCTTAAGAAGTCATACCTCAGTGATGTGGTCCTCAGTAAGATCTGGGACCTCTCTGATCCCACTGGAAAGGGATATCTTGATAAGGTAAAGTAAAAGTAAAATAAAGTGTTAATAATACAGCTAAAAATAATTTTTAGCTGTATTATTCACATCAAAAAATTTTAAATAATATTTAACAGCAGATTTAACAATTGACAATTATTTTTTTAATTTTAACATCTATTGAAACCCCTTCCAATTTAAAATATGAAAAACATAACAGACTTCACATTACCACTATTACACATATGATAGTGAATGCGATTGCAACATTTCTTTTAAAGTTATTGAATGGGCAATGGTAAGCATTAATGCGAATATTATTTTAAATTACTGAGTCTTTATTATGTTACTTGATCATTAAAATCAACATTCGTTCTGAAAGTCAATGCAACTTCAGATGTTTCATAATTCCATGGATCCTTTAAAAGGGATTGCAATGGATTTTAGAAAATTAGACACTTAGGGCACAGGTTGATCAAAAAATGTAAGAAGATAAAATTTGACCTTATTTCTAAGCAGTAATCATCGAAAACAAACCAGAGTAAAATGTAATAAATTATTAAAAATATTGGGAGTATTGTAGTACAAATATCAAACAGAGACATTCAAAGAAAGAATGAGTAAAGTCACAACCTTACATTATAAAAATTGAGAACTAATTATAATTACTCACAATATTTATTGTTTGACTAATTTAAGAGAGATTTTTCATAGTAGAGCTAATCTCAATAGTAAAGTGGTATATGAACTGGATCATTTTAAATTATGACTGACTGTAATATCAATGTAAGGGATTCAGGGATTTTATGTCATAACATAAGAAAGTTCAGTTCAGTTTAGAGCTTTGTTAATGAACCAGAAGACATTTTGCTTATGCTACTATCTATGTGGCTACATTCGTGAGAGAATATTTAGTGTTATGAGTATTTATCAAGAATGTCAATAATGTATGTAGTACCTTTGCCACATTGTTTTTTTATTGAGTACATTTAAGTTATTGAATTTTAATTTACAATTAAATGAATATGTTTGTATTATGTGATCTTTATTTAACATTTCTGGGATTGCTCATGTAATAATTCTTATAAAATGGCTCTATGCCAAACAAGAGGCGCCATAAAAGTAGGTATTTTCGTCGTCGTGTTGTTGCCCTCTGCTTCAAAGGGTGTCTGGGTTATTTTATGTCAGCCTTGATGTTATCGTATCGCCTTTCATAGAAAAATTGCGAGGTATGAGACCGATGCCGACGGCGCTTGTGGCGTCACCACCGCCACTGCTTGTTATGAATGAATCTATATTTTATAGGTTCGGTAACACGAAGGAAGGAATCTTAATACAATGACCGTCGGTAACCAAAATGTGTAATTAGTGGCTACATTTACGGGATAAATTGACCATTCCTTTTGTCTAAAACAATTGGGCCCTTGTATGGATGGAACTATTGGAACACTTAGCTGATTTTTCTATGGTGGTCTGTGTTCAGTTTATTAAACAAAACTTCATTCCAAATTAAACCATAACGGTTTAAAAAATTTACTTGTAAATAATTAACCAAAGATGTTCCTATAGTTTTCCAATTACAACATTTTATTACTCGTCACGAATTGGTGGCAAAATTGTATTTGTTTTCCTTTTCAAGTATTTTCAGAAATATTATGAAAATACCTGTGAAGGAAAACATAGCGACTACTGAAGAACTCACTGTTATTTCAACATTGTAACATTCTAATAAGATTTTGTAATAATATCAGAGATCTAGTCTTATTTGTTTTTTAAAATAACTGTCGTATATTTACGACCATTAAATTTAACAATGGCTTAAGAAAACGACAAAAGTAAAATCGGTTTTCTATTGTAATCAATACAAGGTCGGCCGGTCGATACTTAGAGGCTCGAGCAACAAATATTCTATTGAGTGAATGTAGTGTACTGACAGAGGATGCCTACTCATTTAAAAGTTGCTGCGATACGTTATCACTCCGTTTGTGGAATGTATGGGTCGATCGTGTGCGAACCCCATTTGTTTGATGTAAAGATATCGTGAGGGCGCGTTATACAATTTAAATAACTTTCAATTAGTTTTGTACGAATAAATAACTACAAATAAGCTATATATAAAAACAATGAGAAAACTACATCACATTTGTACAATTTTTTGTTGTAATTATAGCACTTTTTATAGGGAAAATTGATAAATATGTAAGTAACTTTGTAATGCAATTATGTATTACTTACAATACTCGTAATACTAATATATTATTCCCGTTCCCGATAAAATACACACGAACAGTCTTTTTTTATATTAAGGGAGGTTCTTCCTTATCATCAAAAAAGTTCGGTTACTGTATCACATCGAGCTGAATTTAGATCCGGGCTTTAAAGGTTGATAAATATATAAGAGTAACTTTGTAATGCAATTATGTATTACTTACAATACTCGTAATACTAATATCTTATTCCCGTTCCCGATAAACTACACACGAACAGTCTTTTTTATATTAAAGGAGCTTCTTCCTTATCATCAAAAAAGTTCGGTTACTGTATCACATCGAGCTGAATTTAGATCCGGGCTTTAAAGGTGAATCCCTTTTCAAAGTCAAACCCTGTGACGTACGATGAATTAAAACAATGCCAAAATAGAACTCGATTGTTGACGGTTATTCTCTTTTTTTTGTGCAAGTTGATTATATTTTGGTATTCAGTTATTCTCTGTGTAACTCGATGGCGTAGTTTAGTTTTTTATGCGGTACTGAAGTTAAAAAACTTTCGAAAGGGCCGTTTATGGGATAGGCGAATAAAAGTATATTATCCCGAGCTATCTAAGCCGTTGGTCCCGACTACATTTATAGTAGTTAACAACCACGAAACCGCACTGGGCCCGCGTGGTAATCTAATCTCCAATATTTTTGATACAACCTTACCCTTACCACCAATTAAATAGTTTCGTGACTTCTTCCTGGTTTATTGAGCGATGTTGAATTACGTCATTTAACTTGTAAGCTTTCTGCGTTTATTACGGATTATATTACCGGGCAATTACGGTGGAAAAAGACAAAGTATGAAATTAAGTTAATCAAGGATGAATTCAAGTGACAAAATTTTTAGATAAAAGATATAAACTATATTTGTGTGATTTTTTTTTATTTTCTCTATTTGAAAAAAGGCAGTAGGACTAATCGAGACTTCACACTAAAAAAATGTATAACTTTACGCACATAATCTAGTTAACATTATACCTAAACGGAATTTAGTGAGTTTGAGAGATAGGACAGAAAAGAACTCTCTATTTTAGGATTAAGGTGCTAAATAGTATACAGTTAATATTTGCATGTTTGTCATGGTGCTTATTGTGCTTAAGCAGCCGGCAGTGATGCGTGTTAATTGATTTATCGCTTCAACAGATAGCGAGGCATGTAGATCTTGTCAAATAGCTACATTATCTGTCTACACATATTTGTGTGTAGTATTATTTCCTGTATGGTAATCTATATTATTATGTATTTATAAAGAGGAAAGATTAGGTTTTTTTTTTAATTCTTTCATTATTATTGAGGGTGGTGATCCGGCTTGAAGGACCAAACTGTAGACGATGCTGTATAACCGTGGATGATGGTGAAAAACAAAGACGGATTTCTTCTATAGGCGATTTATTGTATTTTCTTCTTACTGGCTACTTATTACTGCTTGACTATACTGCTTGACTGACTTGACTTGACTTGACTTGACTTGACTTGACTGACTACTTGACTGACTACGAATATTTACAAATTTGGCCCTACCCTTATTCTAAACTTAACATCTAACTTAGCTACTAGTGACGCGCGGCGGCCGACCAATCACAGCGCGTTTTACGCCCGCGCGCCGGGTGGGGGAATCGCCCCCACCGTGCGGACGGCGCCTACGCAGCCAATGGGCTCCCCGATAATTCCGCTAATGTAGGCGCTGTGATTGGTCGTTCGATCTGTACATTTTTCGGCACGTGGCTGTCTTCAACAGTCTCCCCCCGGCGAAGGATCTCCGCAGCCTCCTCCGGTTGGCAGCCCGTGCCCGTCGCGCAGCGCGTCCTCTCTCATCGTTCCGTGGAGAGTGCAGGTTCGACGACGATCAGCTTCGATGTCGGCCGCCGAAATGTTCCTCCTCTTGTGGTTATCTCCACGTTCCGAATCACGCCGTCAGGTCCAGGGTAGGTATTGGCTACGATGCCGCGTGGCCACGTGTTTCGAGGCAGAGCGTGGTCGGCTATGATAACCACGTCTACGGTCCGTACTTCGCTGCTTCGTGGACGCTGTGGGTCGCGGCGTGGTACGAGGGTCGGTAGGTACTCTCGTAGCCAGCGTTTCCAGAAGGCGTCGGCTAGTGCTTGCGTCGCCCTCCAAGTCCTGCGGTCGCCCTCTTCACATGGCCCGGTGTATGGAAGGCCGGTCGATGACCCCAACAAGAAGTGGTTTGGGGTTAGCGCCTCCGGATCGCTTGGGTCTACGGAGACATGCGTCAGTGGTCGCGAATTGACAGCATGTTCCGCCTCGGCCAGTAGAGTGTGCAGGACCTCCTCTTTCGGTGCTCGTTCGTTTAATGTGGCGTTGAGCGCGGTTTTCACGGAGCGAACCATGCGCTCCCAGGCTCCGCCTTGGTTAGGTGCTCCCGGCGCGATGAATTTCCATGTGGCATCGTAGTTCATCGCCTCTCTCTTCAGCTCGGGAAGCCACTCGGTGTACGCCTTCTTGAGCTCGGTGTCAGCCCCTCGGAAGTTAGTGCCGTTGTCGCTATATATTACGGCTGGCCATCCTCGTCGTGCTGCCATTCTTCGTAGTGCCGCTTCAAGTTCCAGGCGCGGTACGGTTTGGGTCTTCAAGGGCGAGACCTTAGCTCTTGCCGCTATCAGAACTGTCTCGATGACATGGCCGGGTCCGTAGTGCAACCTCCAATACGCCGCCGTTGCGTAGGCTTCTTCGCTGGCGTCGCAAAATACATGAAGTTCACGGCGACGCACTTCTCTCCCCCCGTTGTAACTACGGGGTAGCCGTAGTTGGTCGATTGCTGGC